GGTGAGAAACACTGGTGGGGTATGGAACCAAACAGATTCGTTGGGCGATTGGCTGTACTCACTGAATACAATGATAGCCGATTAATATTCAATCGGTATTTCCCGGACTACCCTCCTGGGTAGTGCGGACGGTTTGAATACAGCTTTACTGTCTAAGTGATACCTTGTCAAATGAGCAAAACTAACTCTTCCTATCTAGTTCAGTTACCGCATGCATCACCGCCTGCGCTACCACATTGGTTGCAACCCCCTCCGGGAAGAACCGCTTTCTGTCGGCCCCTGGGAAGGGTCCCCAGCGCCACGAAATTACCCCGATCGGTTTTCATCCCGGCCTTCTTAACCACATCCCCACAATCCTTGTATAGTCCCCACAGTTCCTGTCTCCGAAAGGCTGGGGTAACAGGATCTTCATCCACAGCCTGGTCAAAAAAGCTCGATTATTCCCTATAGGTGAGGAAATTAAGAGGAGGATCACCGGAATCTTGGAAGGTTTGGACTGTGATCGCGATTGTTGGGCAGTCGGTGGCAGGAACCTATCATCTTTGTTGACTGTCAAGGAAGCACTTAAAATGTACAAGACAATCGAGGGTGAAGTCGAGTAAATGGGAGTCAGTTTGGGAAGTGGTACGATGTTTTCGACGAAGTGCCGAATAAACGGGCCGCCGCTGTTGACCTAGATGAGGCTAACCAACCATCAATGATGTACATGCGACCTTTTGAAGAGGTGTGTAACGGCGTACACTACTGATGAAACATGCAAGTAATATCCATACAAAACAGTTCAGGCAACCACCTCGTATACAGTCGAAGACAGTTGGAAATTATTGAACTGCTCGGCTGTGTATGTTCATCAATGTAATATATTCAAACAAAGTCCACGAAAGCTCACAGGTACTTTTGGGAATACTGACTTCCTCAGAACTCCGAAAAACGGACATCTGCTTTCGTATCCGATGGCTTGCAACCGCTTTGTTCGTGTTTTAAGGAAAACAGCTCCGCGCTCGAAAATCGTCCTTTTCTTTTTCGGAGCTTCTTGGGGTCGCGCCTTGGAGCCGATGGACTACACGGAATCAATGTGTAGAGGGTAGCTCTGGGTATTGTCTGTTGTGTCTACCGAGTAGGGGAGCATGGCCAAAGTATGGGTGCTTGCTATGCTGTAGACGCTTTCTAGTACAAAATAAGTGTGCATAAACAAATCGCAAATTACGCCATACCTAACTAAACACCGTATGCCGGCGTGCCGACCTGAGGTGACCATCATGAGGGGACCGATCGATTGGTCTGTCATGAGGGGGAACTTCTTTAGAGAAAGGAGTTTAGAAGCAGAGGAACTGAATTTCAGTGGGTTGAAGGTGCTCTTAACGGCCAAAGTAGTTGACTCAGCGAATATGACTGTGACAGTAGTCGGCATCTGTGATCGTAAGCTGTAGGTACTGGAATTAGCTGTGTAAAGCTAACGAATTGTGTAGACCTGATCATTCCCTTACCAGCCAAAATAATTGCGCTCATCAGATGAACCTTTTGTGCAGACGATGTTTCAGTAACCAAAAGTCTTTGAGGATCTGCGTGCTCCATTGCCTCTGGTCAAGCTAACACCTCTCTATGTCGGATGCAGGTTCTAATGAGAATACTGCAAACTGACAGCTTTTACTCACAGGATTCTCACAACCAACAACAACAACAACAACAACCAACTCGTCAATCAGTCACCGTAAACAGCTTACGAACAGTAGGTCAACTATTATGAAAGACTGTGTCGTTGCCAGAACTAGTAGCATGTTAGGGGAATGTCCGACTACTCATCATCGCGTGGGTATCATGATAGAAATAATCACGTCGCTGCTAAAGTATGCGACCTGCCTGTGTAAGTGAACCAACTGACCGTACATCGTCAAACAATCGATGGGTTATGGTCTCACATTATGTTGTTGGTTGGGTGCTTCTATTGATGGGACTCGACGAGTGGGCGAGCTAACCTTTACTATCTTTGAGGGATAGACTGCCTATTAGGACGATATAAACAACAACACTGGTTTCTCAGGGTGAACTAATCCATGGACCTTCGTTTTGTTACAGAAAGCTAGCTAACTATCGGAGAGTTAATTAAGACCCAATATGAGGTCACTGGACAAATAAAACACAAAGGCGACTCAGCATGGGAACATCGTGGTTCAGCGAGACGACAAAGTTCGGCATCGGTTGCATTAGAATAAACTCGTGGAACGGATAAACCAATAGAGAAGTTTGAAAGTTGCAGTTTCCAGCTTCCTTCATCCTTGTGTTCTACTTGAACCCTAATTGGGCAGATTTCAACGACTACACTCATTCGCATATCAATTCGCCTTTGATTGCCTTTGACGGGAGACTCACCTGAAAACCAGCTGAATCTTTAGTCTATAGTGTATTTAAGCAACTGAATGTGCTGCACCAGGCCGCCTCATATTCCAGTTGGGATGACATTAGAGACATCGTGACACACGTATAGATACATGGGGGCGAGATGGGTCAGTGGATAGAGTGTGGATTTACTAATCGGAAGGTCCGTGGTTCCAACTCAACCTCTGCCTCTCGACTTCCCTTGTCTAGGCTTAAGCAGTCTGGCAATATCCCCGCCAATCTGATTCCTTCGGATGGCATGGCAGCTAGGCGTTGAAAGGGTGCTACAGGTGAACGATTATTAGTATCTTTATTACACGTGTAAAAACATCACAAACGAGAAATTCAGCTGGGTTCTAGGTGAGTCTCCCGTCAAAACCAAATTGATACGCAAATGACTGTATTTGACGAACTTTCGGCAGTTCTTTACAAGTAGCTTTGGAATAGTATCCAAAGTTTGCCAACCACCCATCGTAAATTTTACCTTGTTCTGGCGCTCATGAAGTGGCTCCGGGCCCGAATTTCAATGTTTTTTGGCTTGAAAACTAAGTTGTCCATGAGTTGAATAGATCACTCGCTTGCTTACTCAGTCAAAGAGAGTGGTCAATCCAGGGTTCAGCTAGCCCAGTGTCTATGATCATTAGTAAAGGAAGACTCATCGAAATTCACTAGAAGTTCACTGGTGCTTCTACAGTTTGGTACGAAAATGATTAATTGAAACTCGGGAACTACACTAGTCTTATCGGTTCCACACAGGTCGAGACGGGCAATAGGAGAATCCCTATGGATGTTCCTATGCTACCCATGAGCTGCAAAATCTCAGTTTTTTTTAATCCCAGCCTAATTACACTAATCAGGCATTGAACTTTTGAAGTTTGGTGATCATACCAATCTGGTCCGTAAGCGAGTCACGGAGGTGTGATGCATAACCAAAAGCTGTTCTGTAATTTTAAAGCACCCATAGAGCGACCCAGCCAGTGAAACCCAACAAGCGGACTATCAGTCGATGCAAACAATGCAGTTGTTGATTTGCTGTTCAGGTGGTCCGGCAAAGCAACGCGCAATGTCTGAGTAGGAACATGTTGATCCTCTGGGGCGTTAAAACCAGGTGAGCATAGCATGCGCTGCTGGGGTTGCTCAAATTCTTACAATTCGAGATTATAGCTTGATATGATGTAGCACGAACGATACTTCAATCTCGCTTACTTTTGATTTAGATTGACCAGAATAGGAGGAGGACTGTTTCGGAGAACATGGTGTGAACAGAAGTTCAACAGATCTGGCAGCCTCCCGAAGATGTAAGCTCATAGGTTTCGTTTGCACACAGACCAACTTACCTGCAGTCTTGATGTCGATCCCATTGGTTCTTTCAATTCCCCACGCCTAAGGGTGGGAGAATCCCTCACCTTTCTGAGCAGTTCAAGGTGATTCATTTTTTACAATCTCAAATCAGCGAGTTCAGAATCTCGAATTGCCTTTGGATGCTGTTAGATGGCAATGAACTTTTTTCAGACTAGATATTTCACACGATATTACTTGCAAAGTTCGACACATTCAGCTGTTCAGTCCTCGTGGAGCTCTTCGGTTAGACAATTCCCTGTTTATACGGGGCAACTATCAGTTACGCATAGACACCAGGATTTCTGTGTATCAGGCTCTTGTACTTTCTTCGCTACTGTATACCGTCCAGGCCTGGACGACATATGTACTTGACCGGTTTCACGTGTAGTCCAAGCAATATCTTTCGGATTAAATGGAATGATTGAGTCCTGAACACAGAATTACTTCGAAAGCAACTCTTCTGGAGTTCAATGAAGTTTGGGGCGAAGCCAGTTCGTCTGGTTGAACTACTTGTAACAACTTACCAGAACTCGCATAGTAAAACAACTTGTGTACGGGCGATTGAAGGATGGATTTGGAAATCCAGGAGTATATATATATATATATATAGTCAGATCAACACCTATTTACCGTTTTGTTTGGCAGAGTGACAGAATAGGCTACCGGACATTGGCTATTTGACGATACAAGTTCCTCCCAGCCCACGTGACCTTTCTCTGCACCACAGAACGAACAAAAAGTATGGAGAACCGGATGATTTGGGATTCCAACGTGAAACATCATGCAAAAATGTTTGCCGAGGTGAGTGTGTCAATGTTCTGAAAAATGAAAGCTCATAAGGAAACCGAACAAATTTACCTAAGCAACTGAGAAGGGCAATGCGGAATAAGCAATCATAGAGATGAAAGCTCACTGAAGCATTGGAAACTCAAGAAGTGAGGAAGGGACGAGCTCCTCAGAAAATTTGTCATGGTGATGCCGACAGTGGAATACAGGAAATACCGACGCAGCAAAGTGGTTAAAAGCTGGTGATGATACGTGGCAAGTCGCTTCAATTTTTTATACTTATTTGAGGTTTATGCCCTTCAAAGATTAAACCCTAGTTGCAAATTGATGGATTGCGTAAGCAAGCAGTTGAACCGACCTGGTACCGTGGTGCGTACCCACAGGTGAGAAGCAAACGGAACTCTGAAGACAGGGAGGAAAGGATGTGTTCTATAGGTTAACAGAATGTACAATATGGACAACGGATACGTACAAATTTACTCACAACTATAAGCAGGTGCTGCCAAGAGATCGGATTATCAATCACAACACAATTCGACCAATTTTACACGACTGCATTCTGGAAGAAAATTCCGTCCTCTGGTCCCACAGGATCTGACTAAACTGGGTGCAAACCACTTGTGGGAACCGTGACAAAATTCTGGAATGGACAGCCAGGCTCAGTCATTTCGATACATTCAGAGACTAAATTTATCTTGGCGGAACAATAAAGCATGCTTCCATAGTGCATTTTTGAGGAAGAGATTAAAAGACGGCGTTTATACAGGTGCACAAGACTCTGTTTGGGCCACTCCACTTCTCCCGATTACACTCAAACTGGAGTATTCAATTTCATTAGATATCAACAAGTCATTGTTCAACTTAATTTATGATAACGGTAGACCTCTTAAAACGCCATACTGCTTGTTAGAAGCGTTTAATTTTAGTTAGAACAGTGCAGCATAAATACCAGAGACGTTTTTGACTTGGGTGGCACCTTTGTTGTGTGCACTGTTGTGGCAAACCCTCATGACAGCGGAAAGATGAAGAAGGAGACTATGTGAACCAATGTAGCTGTATGAGCCTCTAAACACAAGAAACACGGCATGTTGGCGGATGTCCTGAACAGAACTGACGAAACAGAAATTAGAGGACCAATGGAGCTTGGAGCAGGCCATCTCCAGGTGTGAGCGAAGTAGCGGTGTTTCTACAGTCGAACACATGCACCACAAGTAGTGTTACCTTGCCCTTTTCGATTAACTAACTGCGTGACAGTGTGACAGCATCTGATAGGGGAAAGACGGGGATCTTGTGTTGAGAAGTCGCATCTGACTTGGAATAGGAACACGTGGTTCAGAGATCATGATGCCATAACGAAAGAGGTTTAAACGGCTCGGTATTTCAACCAAAGTCTGACCAGGCCTACATCGGAGGGCCTTCGTGAGTTCTTGGGATCGCTCAGAGTGTTAGCCAGGTAGCCGACATACTCCTGTCAAACCTGAAAAGCGACAGGTTGGGAGCTGAGTAACTTGGATCTTGTCTAATGTTTCAGAATGGCCCTGGATTAGATGCGAGGATATACAAGACGTAGCAGTTTAAATCCAGGCATGGGAGCTGAACACGCGATCTTTGACAGAGCGTGATGTTACATCAACAGTGTAAAGCTTTTTTACCATAATGGTGCGTTGTGATTGCTACGTGAAGGCTTATGGATTGGTGCTTTCAGTGGAACTCCGGATTCTTGGTTGAGAGACTGCTGTTCAGTCATATCCGGGCATACAGCGTCTGTTTGTGGTGTGAAACCGGTGGGGTCAAGAATCTTTACAATTTAAGGAACCGATACCAGAGCCAACTCATATTCTCAGGTAGAAGAAAAAGGTTTCCGGGGAAGTACTAATGTGTGATCATTAGGAATGGCGATGTGAATGATGGTAAAGTTTCGTCCTCCGTCTTCTGTAGCCGCATCACCAAGTATCGACCATCCACTACGTCGCCTCTTCCCAGAATATTAAGGTACCACTATTATGATGTCTATTCGGATCCACCCCGACACTTGATCAAAGAATGCTGAAAGCTGAGTAGGAGTTCCGGAGATATGAAACTTGTTCGCAAAGTATGCTTTAGAGGGTCAAGGTAGTTTTTCCCCTTGCGAAATCACCCTTTCACCCCTTTTCACTTGCGAAACCACCCTTTCTATCCGTATATTCGTGTAAATGGATGACACAGGAGTTGTACCATTTGGAAAGAGGGGGCGTTTGACAACGAAACTACTCTGACCTGAGGAAGCGGTAATCAAACGGATGATCCATTTTAACGAGATAAGTGATTGTCGAAGTCTTTCCCATCCTCTGCAAGTGGGTGGTTTTTTAAAACCTGAAAACCGTGCTCTAGATCCCGTACAAGCTATGCTCAGCAGAAGGCAGAGAAAAACTCACCGAGAGCACATTATTGGTCCCACCCTATTTGCGGCTCATCAAATGGAGCCAATTCTCGCACCACTAGAGGTTGATGCTTGTGCAAAATCACGCATTCATTCATCATGTGAAGTCGCACTTAATTTAACGTGAAGACGCAGTCGTCCTCTACCCCACCTAACCCAATTTTAAAGAAATCGACCACCAGACAAAACAGTTCACTCAGTTACCATGAGTGCCGCATTGATCGTGTGTTTTTACTCTAACCGAAGAAGCACTGCGTGTCCCCTGACCTTTGTCGGTCGCCCATGCCTTTACGACTAGAACAGAGATAGGTTACGCGCTACGTTCCACGGTGTGTTTGACGTCTGTCTAAAAATATCGATCATGCAGACTAGATTGGTTTGGGGGCTTCACGAACCACTGATAAGATAGCAGACAGAACCTAAGGTAGCATCGAATTCAAAACTCCAGAACACGTGGCGGCTGTGGGGGGGGGGTTGGCTGTCCCCTATTAACTGATAAATCTAACGTTGCAGACCAGCTGGCCCGTTGAGTCCAAGCTTGGGAAGGGATAAGAGAATAGGGGTTACCGTGTTATGGCGGTTTGGATACCCCAGCGACCCGCTGAGCTATATTGGGAATGTCTGTGGGATATATGGTCTTTCATGCCAGGTTGGTCAATGGTATAGCTCCAGGTCGGTCCTACAGGCTGAGGAGTGGAACATGTGGCAACATATTCTTCACAAATGGCAGTGCAATCGCGTCACCCGCAAAATACCTTTGCCTTGAAATTAGGCTTTCAGGCCAAAGGCTTTGATCGAGGGCTCTAGTCATCCTCCTGTCTAGGTCTGGGTTCCCTGACCAACGTGCCACCATGATTCCTACAACTAACTAGCTTAGTTTTGGACTTTCAAAGTTCTTTGGAATCAGCTGACTGGCCCGTTCTCCTTAAAACCTTTGCCTATCAAGGATTGTCCTGAGGTTTGTGAATACAATGTCCTTTGTACTCTCAGACTTCCGGGCATGCTAGTTAAGGAGAGCTCTCCAAAAATTTTCGTGCGCAAAGTGGTCCCCGCCAGGGATGTACAAATTATCCATTCCTATTTAATCTCGTGACCGACGACGTTATGAGATGAACACCGAAAGTTTTTTAAAGCACTGACGAAAGCCTTGTCGATCTGGAAATAAATGCGCAGGTGATTTTGGGTGAACTGATCCAAATCATCCCGCCGTCCAGCACGCACTCTGCACCCACAAATCGTAAGTTCATGCTTCTGTGCATGGAGTTCATTAGCACACCAATTACCATCCAAGGAGAGGCCCCCGAATTTGTGGAAGTTGTGTTAGTTTCGACTGTAGTGTGAACTATGAATTTAGTGGACGAATCACCAACGCTCAAGTCGCGTTCACGCGACACTTATGGCGGCAAAGCGGTATATCCCGGAATCTCAAGGGACGTGTACCGGGCTAAGGTATGGGCTGTTTTGTCGTATAGCTGTGAGATCTGGCCTGTTCGAGCAGTGGAACTGTGTGTCCTTCGTGCCTTTGACGACCGGTGACTCATGTACCCTGGTGTCGGCGAAATCTCAGTGATACACCTAGAAAGTGAGTGTTCGGTTGTACGACCGGGGGTTCCATCGAAATTTGTGTCCAGCACCAAGAGATACTTCGGTTACGTTATGAAGTACACCTACTGAACAATAGGTGATGAGGAGAGTGCTGTTTTCTGTGTCCCATTCGGAGTGGAGTAAGCAAGGCGTTGGTCAACATTTGACCAGGCAAAGGGATATTAAATGTATTACGAAAAGTCTGGGTGCCGTCGGTGCGGCTAGCTTCCCGGGATTGTGTCCGCGTGATCTCTCCTGTGCAGGATTGAAGACAACGCAACATATGGCTGCTAATCCATGGCA